GGTTGGTCCAACCATGGTGTACTTGGAACAATTCTTTGCAATGAACAGTTTAAGGTAAGGGATTTCATCGAAAATTGCAGCAACTCCACCATTGTTGGTTCCTCTGGATAGTGCATGGTTATACTCCTCAATGGTTACATAAGGTTTCAACTTGGATTCTTCAAACCTTAAATTGTCCATTAGAAACCCTTTAATAAATGAATTCTTTTGATATCCTATATTATAACCATTCCTTTTGATCTCTCTTATATCAGTAAATGCAGGCTGCAATCTCTGCACTGTTAACATTGAGGCTAAACTTGCAGTGTAACTCTGTGTCAGGATAAGGACCACAAAAACCCAAATTATGAGCACTAATCTTGACCAATTGTTCACCACTTTCTCCCCTATAGCATTAAAAAAGCATTATTAATTAGACTACAAGCTTCATTGAGAATTTTGAAGAAAACAAATGCTTTGGTATAAGGAGAAGAGAACTTACTATGAGCAAAGACAAGAGTTGAAAAGGAGAACCAGAATATCATGCCAAGTTGTTGTTGTGGTGGACCTCTAAACTCAGAGTTTACCCGGTGTTCAAGAACCCATATCACAAAACCTGTAAATATGAAGGCTGCCCCAGTTGTCAGCCAAAGATCCAAACTTAACGGCTTCAAAAAAATCCAAATATTGCCTCTTTCATTATTTTCCACCAAAACTACCATTGACACTCCTGACTCTGAATACGGCAATGTAAAATCTACATACAATGAGCGATTAGCTACAATTGTTGTGTCTCCCACCACAGCATCATACTTCTGCATTTTAAATCACCAATTGAAAAGTACATTAGAGAAGGAGATAGAGAGAAAGAGAGGATGACCATTAATTTAACCTGTAAAATAAAACTTACCGTTGCTTTGATTCCGTAAAGAAGTTCATCATATGTCCCATTGAAGCATAAGAAGTCATGGGGAAGCGGAAATGGTAGTTTAGCCAGTGCAGCAAAGAAGACATCAGCAGCAAATCCCGATATATTTTTGTTTTCCACTTTTATGAATTCATTAAAACCTTCTTTCATTGGAACTCCAATCCTGAGTTTCTTTGTTGCAGGTTGGTCTGTAGTGTCCCCTGGCCAAATTGGTTGCTTGAGTCTTCTCTTTACATCAGATTTTTCTGCTTCACTATTATCATACTTGAGCTGCCTTGACAGCCCTTTTTGTTGGTCAATCCAATATCCAATAATCCTTTCTTTACTGCCAATCACATTGAATATCTCAAAGGTTGAAGGTTCTAACTGTCCCTTGACCAACTGGAAATTCCCACTTAGGTTTTGAAATTTTGAACTTGGGATTGTTTCAAGAAGATTTTTACCCATCTTACTGGTTTCCGAGGTTGCAAGATTAATGACTCTACTTGTGTTATGTTTCATAGAGCTAGAACTTGTTGTTCCCACTTTCTCCACCGCCATTGCCAGTGCCCAAACTGTATCATATGCCCATAATCCAAAGAGGTTTAGGCCTGCAGTCATCTTGTTTGGTTGTTTCCATCTTGACTGAAAGTCTTCAAGATCTTTTGTCATTGGGATATATGGCCTTACTCCCAACACACCTTCCATTGAATCCATGGTTGTCGAATTCACAGGATCTAAAAAAGTTGATAACCCTTCGGTGACAATCCATGCATACCCTTCACTCATCATACCTACCTTATTTGCTAGTATAAAGAATTTGGACCCGAGGGAGGCAGTCATATGCACCAGAAATATTCTTGTTGACTTTGAGTTTAACCTGTCAAGCTCCCTTAGAATTTCAGCATCATTAGAAGATGGAGTTATGACACTTCTGTAAGGTACTCGAGCACCAACCTCCTGGATAGCGTCCACCAGATACTGAATCAAACCATTGCCATAATCTGTGTCTTCATAGACGAGAACAACTTCGAACCAGCTATAAGCTTCAATGATGGCAGCTATGGCTTTTACTTGAGCAGAGTCATCAAAGGATGTCCGGACAAAAAATGGGCTACGAGATGGAGAAAGAGAGGGACTGGTGGCAGAGAATGAAATGATGGGAACCTTAGCCTT